TATCTTTATTTTAAAAAAACATGTTGCGGTCGCAAACAACGTGGCACACTACTCGTGCCTACTTCAAAATGTTTACATTTGTGATAGCTTTGCAGTAAGAAGAACGTAGCTGGCAGATGTCTAGCTAGGACGAAGTTTAAATGACTATTTCCCATTCCTGCCTCCAAACTACTAATTGTTTATAACATAATATATGAATTTAAAGCGCGTCTTCTCAAAATTAATCCACTTCATGCTATCATATGTAACGGGCATTGAATATTTTGTTTTAACATCGGGGTATTCAAAGAATTCATTACAGTTTAATTAGTCGACAGGATTTTGAGGCAAATAAGATCTAGGATAGAATAGTCTTGGAGCATAATATCATGAATAGTTAAAATATGGTCGAGGATGCCGCCTAGAAACAGTAAATCTGGGCACATTACTGGTACTTTCTAGTTGCTTAGGTGAATTTGTAGTTGGACATAATTTTGAGCTAGGAAAATCTAATTTTGATGCGAAGTTATATTTTGAACAGACAGTAACATATGATATTTCTTTGGTAAATCCTGTGTTAAAGACACGATAGTCATTTAAATGTAATGCATAACCTAATTTTAATTTTTGACAAAAACTTATATTATGAAAATATAATACATATATTATGAAACATATAACATTCTTTTATCTGTATTATAATCTGCAAATATTTTGAGATACTTTACTGTTTGTATAGAATGACGACTTCTACCAACTTGGCAAAAGCTGCGTCAAATATGCATAATGGAGGGAAAAACTAGCAAAGATGGTCGTAGACAAGGCATAATTTATTGCTGAACATTTTTGAGATATATATTCTCAATCACACATCATTTTGGGTGCGATAAGCACCCCACAATTTTGTATAGTTATTCACATCTTTAGGCAATGAAAGAAATCGAGCGGCAAATTTTATGTGCTAGCAAGAGCAAGGAAAGCCGGAAAGTAAGTGTACATTTTCTGAAACAGTAAATATGTAGAGTGTCGATCCTTTGTTGAAATTTGACCTGTGATTAGATAGAAAATATATACAATGCACGTTACATAAGGTGTCATGAAGCGGATTAATTTTGCGATGACGCATTTTAAATTGATATATTGTAAGCAATTAGTAGTTTTGAAGCAAGAAGAGAAGTAGCCAAATTAAAATGAGAAATGGAAGAGCCTACTGCCAAATTAAAGTTATTAGTTTTATTTCGTATTTTATATCTTATATTAACATACACACACACACACATACGCACACATGTGTATACAGGGGGACAATTATTGAATTTTTTATTTCATATAGCTCAATAATAATTATTTCATAAAAATTACTGAGTTCAAAAATTTTATTTAGATTTGAAAAGTAACTGCTGATATTCGGATTCAGTTTATCACATCTTCGATATTCTTGCCGTTAATGGCTATGAACTGCCACAGACGAAGAGCCTGATTCTGCAAAACTCGTTGAAGTGTCGAGACAACGATGTTTTCGATGACCTCCTGAATAGCTGTTTGGAGCTCAACAATGGTTTTGGGGGTTATTTGAGTAAGCTTTGTCTTTAATATTGCCCCACAAAAATGAGCCACAAGGGTTGAGATCAGGAGAATATGGCGGCAAAGCGAGTGACCTCTTAGTTCATCCAAAGCCGGAATGCGCTCTTCAAAGTGCTCCTCCAGGACTTCAGACACTCTATTAGTCCGATGCGGTAGCGATCCATCCTCCGTGAACCGTATCGTTTCGAAATATGAATCACCGTAGATAATAGGGATAACATAATTTTCTATAGTTTTGACATAAAATTCAGCAGTCACCGTGCCTGCAATGAATATCGCACCGATTAATCCGCGACTTGACATTGAACGCCAAACAGTTGCCCGTTTGTGATGGACGGACTTCTCGATATCGAAATGGGGATTTTCACTCCACCAAATACAGTATTTCTGCTTATTGACGTAACTATCCAAATAAAAATGGCTTCGTAGGTAAACTAAATCATATTAACATCGAATTCTTGTTCGTCAATCATATCGACAATAGTGATGGCGAAACAAACATTTTGTTCAATGGCAATGACGCTCAGTGGTTGATGAATTTGGATTTTGTACGGAAAGACTGCAGGTCTTGAACAACAATTTATTTCAAAGTCTCCCGGTTGATTCTGAGCTGTTGTGAAGTTTGTCTGATTGATATCTTTGGGCTATTTTGAAACACAATTCGATTTTTCTCGATATTTTTAGGCGTTTTCACGCTTGCTCGACGATCAACATTGTCAATAATGTCATCACAAACACTACAAAATTCTAATCAGATTTTTTATTGTTATAACACTCGTGCCGGTTTTCTTCAGCTTGTACTCAGTCGCAAATTTCCTTTGAGCCATAATCGGGCTTTTATTGCTGGAATAGTAGGTAAGCCTTGACTATGAATATACGCTCAGAAACTCTGTATTTCGATATTTGCAGCGAGAAAGGAACTAAACAACAATACGAGTGCGCATGCTCAAACAAATTGTCAACATGCCTTGCATTCAAACGGCAAATTTTAACTGAATTTTGCAATGGTTCAAATGTTATCAAGTTTTTTTTTTTTTTTTTTATTTAACAGAATAATTGTCACGCTGTACATATATATTAAGAGTAAGTTCAAAAGGAGCACAATTTTCTCTTATCCTATCTGAGGAAAAAGGTGTAGGGTGGGGAATATTAAAAAGGTCTTAAAAGTGTAAATTTAGTGTAGTGAAATATGCCCATCTAAAGCGTTTTGTACAGGATGTTAAAACTTGTAAAAACGGTGGTTAAATCATTAAAATTAATGCATGTTGATTACTTTTATAATAGATGTTGAAACACAAAATAATAGAAGCTTGTAATGATGGTAGATTTTAAAAATTTATTTTTAGTTAAGAATTTTGTGGCTACAAATTATTTAGAACAACGTCCCGCTTGTTCCAAAACGTAACATTTGCATTTTTGATACTATTGCGGTAAGAAGAAAGCAGCGTGGCAGCGTTTTAGTGGCAACAGAAACTGAAGCGAAGTGCGTAGCTATCTAATATGGAAGTTTGTTTAAGAGAAAGATTTCGGTTTAGAAAATTTCGAATTAACTGCGTCATCATTGTTATGTAAAGAAGGGAAAGGGGAATTATTCAAATTAAAATGAGGAATAAAGGGGCTATTACAAAACTATAAGTTTGTCTTTATGTGTGTAATATATAACATATTCCTCCTTCAAAAAGAAAAAAAAAGCTTAGTGACAGAAAAGGCGTTAAAGCATTAGCAAGTAGAGATAAAATTTTGTTCTAAATATTTTTTTAATTAATTAAAAAAATTTGGATGTAATATTTTGGACAATAAATGAAAGTTTAAGGCTCTGTGTTTCAATATTCAGTCTAATTTAAAAAAGTTCTTGTCAATTCTACTTCTTGGAGGGAGGTTTTTAAAACTTTTGCAAAAAAATCACAGTTAAACAAATTTTATATACACATTACTTATTCTGAATAATCATAAATTTCAAAATTAACCAATAAATCTGAAATAAATAGGTCTCAAAATTTTATACCATATTAATTTTCAAATTTGTAACTGATATTTTAACATTATAAATGTTATATTCTTATTGAAATTATGGCTGCCTTGTTATTATTTCATTTGTAACTCTTTATTTTACACAAAACTGGAAGCCTCTATTGGCCAGGGAATGCTCAGGAACTTACTTAAAAAGGCCTCGGTTCTTTTATAAGGTAACTGGCCTTTGTGAAGTCTACTAAACATTCCATCAAATATTAAAAATATACAACTCCACTCCGTTATAATAATAATAATATTAATGTTAATAATAATAATTCTATATAAAAAATTGCATTTTTTCCTAAAATGGAGATTTATATTTCTATTGTACGAGGACAGTAAAAGGAATGGTTGTACATAGGTAAAAACAGGCCTCTGGTTTTAAACCAATACTTCCTTTAACGTACTATATCATATTTACATACAATTATTTATCAGTTATGCTTTATAAAATTATTAATTAGTTGTAACATTCATTTACCAAAATTAAAAAATATTTTTTTATGAAAATTACATTACTCATATAAATTTTATGACAATAATTTAGTTTCTTAAAATTTGAGTTCTTTTATGTGTTAATTGTAATAATATTTAATATCAGAACAAATTTGCTGCATTATACTCAAAAAATATTTTATATTCGTTTCATGTACTAATAGACAAAATTCCTTTATTCATTTTTTACATTTACCTCATTCTTAAAATAATTAAAAATTCTTAAATTTTCAAATTATAAAATAGTGATTTTGACCTTAAAATAATTCCAAAAATTCTTCATAATAATTTTAAAAGTTTTTACAGTAATTCAAAAATGTAATTATTAATCATATTAAGATTCAAAAACTTCCCTCAATAAAATTTAAAAGTTTAATTCAAAAATAATTCTTTAAATTAAAATTTTTAATACCATAAAATTTTTTTAAAAAAACATAAAAATAAACCATGCTGTCTGTAAGGTTATCTGATTTTGACTAGGTTTCAAAACTGACGAAGGCAAATGGCTACATTTTATTCTTGAAGTCAAAGAACTTTTTGTTGTGCTATTTAATGGAAAAGTACCCCTTTTTTGTACACACATTGGCACATTACTGTTACTTCTTACCGCACATTTTTATTAATTGTCATCTGGCTGTGAGTAAGAGAAACGCACATTATTATGTACTTCCTTTAAGCTTACATAAGCAAACTTAAATCTATATATACATCTGTAACTGTAATATGTAACTTCAATATTCCTAGGTACAAAAATCTATTATCAACATCGCCCATATGCTTTTCTCTCTGGAAAAGTTATTTCCCTTCCGAGCACACGAGCTCTGCACAAACAACACCAGGCCGGCGATGATGGTAGTGACGTATAAGCGTGACGTCACACAACCATGCGCCTCTCCGTAGCACGTGGATGCAACCGGTTAAAACGCGAATAGTTCTATCATCTTGTAGGCTTCTCAAAAAGTAGTCTGTCCGCCTTTAAAGATATTTATTTCAATCTTCAAACTATTATTACGTACATAATCCCTTTTAACGACTTTTAATACGCACTTGCAGAAATCCCGCAAATAATCGAGCGGATTCATTTTTTTTCGAAGTGGAAAATAACTAACGTAAGTTTTTTTGTTTTGTTTTGTTTTACTGCTTTGCAGAGTGTTTATATTAATGATTCATCTTCTTTCGTTTTGTTTTCATCACATGAAAAAAAGATATGGGTCAATCGTCTGCAAAAAGTTACTCGTGAGTTTAGAAATTGTAACTATGTATAATCATAATACTGAGTAGAGTTACTTGCGATGTAAATGGTTTTGTATGTATTCTCTGCGCAGTTGTGTTTGTTTTATTTGTACGCGTCATTTGCTTACGACGTAGAAGTATGAGAAATTCTTTTTGTTATTGTTGATGGTTTTTTTTTTTTTTTTTTTTTTTTTAAAGAATTAACAATGGTTTCTATGGTATGAAATTATTAGAATTTGTTTAGGGTAGAGGAGAAATATTTTTGTGAATCATTTTATTTGTTTTAAATATATAAAGATGTTTTAGTTAGCGAATTTATTTTATTTTTGCGACTTAAATTTCTTTTACATTTGGACTTTAATTACATGCCATGAATTGCTTTCATATTTATGTAAAATTTGAATTTATATTCCGCGAGTACACACAAATTAGGTGTATTTTATTTTCATAGTAAAATTTCCAGCGGATTGCTTGAAAGATGTTAAATTCTATATACATGATACTATATTTTCTTACCAATTTTTTTCCATTTACCTGTTGTTATTGCTTAAAATTTAAATTTCACGTTAAAATGTCTGAAATATCAATTTTATGTTTGGTGACGACTGCTGTTTCGTTAACAGAAAAACTTACTTTAGTCATAAAATTTTATCATTATTGACGTTCAAATGCTAAATACTAAACGCGATATTATGTTCCATAACTTGGATTTTTTTAATTTTTCGCTTTGTGAATTTACATATGTAAATTTTAAAAGCGATTCTGTGTTAGAATATATAGCACATAATGTTCGAAATATTTTTTCTTAATTACAGTTATTATGTGATTCATATAAATCGTCGATTTCTGTCATTTGATTTGAAATATTTTTAATATTATTTCAATTAATTTTAATAATACTGAAATATTAAAATAAATTGAAATAATATTAAAAATAATATTGAAATATTAAAATAAATATTTAGGTTTTTGTTAAGCAGTAAAGTTGTAACTTGAAGAGTGAAAAGGATCTTATGATATGTTGAATGACAACACACCTAAAACTATTATTTGCTAGAAATTGTGGAAAATAAGTTAAAGAATTTATGCCTTATGTATTGGCATTGCTTGCTGTGTCGCCTGGAAGATAAATGGCTCGTAATTTTATGGAATGTAACGTTAACAGTACAAAAAAGTTTTGAGTATTACTGAAAATGTTTACAGCTAGTAGAATAGTGTCGTTGTGATTAACTTCCACCAATTTGAAATTATATCAACGAAATATAAATTTCAATAAACCTTTTTCGAGCGTGGGGATATCACATCATTAACATATTTTACACTCGTATGGGAAATCACTGTTCAAATTCTGTTCCAAACATGGTTTGTAGTGCTGACTGAACATACACTATTCTAAAGATATTTATTTTTCCGTTAGTTATAGTGTGTTACTTTTGTTTTGAGTAGTGATTTAATTTACGTAATCTAATGAAATTCTTCCTCAATTTAAACTGCTTTAAAATACGGGAAAATTAGTAATAATATTTTTTTTTTTTTTTTTTTTTTGTTAATTATATTTCTTCTTCTTCTTTCCAGTATTTTTTTAACTTCCTTTGGATTAGTTGTATTTTTGAGTTAACCATGGACGTCATGCCCAATATTATCCTGATTAATCGGGTGTCGTTTGTACATTGCATTTCATTAAGAGTAATTTTTTTTAATACTGCGTTTTACATTCGTGTGCAAAATTAAGCGATTTTACAAATTATGTCTATTTTTAGGGAAAGGAAAAGCATTGAATCAAAGCTACAATTACGCCGCCAAGGACTTATGCAAATATTCAGAGTCGAATACGTAAGCATACACGTATGTGTGTGTATGGAGCTGTAATTGTGGAAGGAATATAAGCGCATGAAGATTGTTTTCGCGCTTTATGTGCTCGTACTTCACAACATTCGCAGTGCTTCTCGAAAGAGTTAGATAAATTTTATAAGATAAAATGAGTAGCTACGAACATATGGATTAGAAACGAAATGGAGAATCATCGGTAGACATGGAGGTAGGCCAATCAGAAGCGCAGGTGGCTACGTAACGCAGGGTAACGTCCAGTTTCATCTGCAATTTGTGGAAGCAGTTGAAGCAAACTGGATCCGTATTGAGAAAACCTGTATAGGGTCGACCAAGATCCATAATAACGAATAAGGATTGTTATTTGGCACTTTCAGCGTGGCCACAAAGAACTGCTACAGCCTCAGCGCTCCCACATAAACCAACGCCAATGGAACCCGAGTTAAGCAGTCTGCAGTTGACTGAAGGCTTTAATGAGATAGGGTTGTATGCCAAAAGACCAGCTGTTTGCGTCCGCTGACTGCAACACCCAACAGAGCGCGTTTAACATGGTGCAGACATGAGCCTTGGACCAGACTTCAGTGGAGCACTGTGCCTATTACAGATCAGTCGAGACTCAGCCTGGACTCTTGATTGTCGGTATATTTGGAGAATGCCTGGAACACGGTACCGCCCGTCCCTCATCAGAGAAAAGGATTATTACGGTGGTGGAGGTGTAATGGTTTGGGAGGCATTATGTTGGATGAGCGCAAACCCCTGCATGTATTTGACAAAGGCTCCTTGATTGCTAGGGTAGAAAGAGGAGATCTTAGTGCCCTTTGTTCGACTTTTCCGGGGCGCAATTGGTCCTGGGTTCTTGTTAACGGACGACAACATTTGGCCGCATAAGGCTCAGAATATCGACGATAATCTGGAAAGAGAAAATATTCTTTGCATGATTGACCAGCCAGATTAATTTATATTTAAATCATAATACAGAGAATATGTATTCATGTTATGATTCAATTAACATTGCAAATATCTATTTAATTCGGCAACAAATGATATAGAAATATTTAAATGGAAATTTCTGAAGAATTTTCTGTAATAATTCAGATTCACGTTAGTAAATAAATAAAAACGTCTTTGTCAGGGATTAGACATTCAACCTATTCGTATTTTAAAGAGTCTATAATTTTTTTCTCGAATATGCCTTGATCTTTTATAATTTTTATACAGATATCACTTCAATAAGTAATTTTTACTAAATATTTTAAACCTCGCTAATCTGAAGAGTTCTGGATTTTAGCAATTCCACGTTATCAAATACACCATGTAATAAGACTAAAGTCATAAATTTTCGGATTTTTTTGTTATTGTATGTATTCAGGCATTAAAAAATTTAAGATAGGAATTCTGCAAAATATTTAATGAAATATATTTTTTATTTCACAAATAGCCTCATTCACCAGCCTCAATGCCTGTGACCTTGGTATAATTTTTTTTCCCTCGTCAGTCTCTTCTCTTAGCTGTCTACGTATTCAACACAATTTGAATTATGACATAATCATTTGACCTTTCCATAACTGGTTCATTTTTATAATTGCAGTCCACTTAAAAAAATCTACTAAAAGCAATTAAGATAAATAAATACAAGCAAAAAAAAAAAAAAAAAAAAAAAAAAAAAAAAAGATGTGAAGTATAAAACAAAGAAATATCTGAAAATAGGCAACAAGATTGGCAAGCAAGTGTGTCGCGCTTTTTACTTCCTTGTACAAAGTAAAAAGGACATATCGTAATCGCGAAAAGTTTCAGGCAGCATATTTCAACGAAAATATCCATTTTTACCGCTTTCGAATGCCATTTAACGATGATTTTGCGTGATATCTGTACGTAAGGACAGAATAAAAGACTCTTTTCCTCCCAAAAAATTATAAAACTGCTTTAAAATGAATTCTGAAAAGAATTTTGTTTTGTTTGCTTAATTTCTTTTATACATAATTCTAGCTTTATTATAGTATTTGAATGGAACATGTGGCAACGATTAGATAATTCTTTAAATGATATAAATTTTGTGCATTCTGAGAGTCATGCGGTGTACACATCAGATTTTTTTATTGGATATTACGCAATGAGGTGTTAATAACGCCATATTACGGTAAAAATATTGCTGAAAGAACTGTCGGGTTTTCACGATTAATTTATTTTAAGTTAAGTAAGCTGTATTTTTCTATTTTTTTATACATAAGGATAAAATACTTCCAAGAAAAAAAATATTTTCATAAGGAACTGTACAACAGTAATCTTATATCCGCAGGTAATATATTCTAAAATTTTCACCATTAATAACGAAAGCTTTATTAAATAGGATATTCGCATATGTAAATGTAACTCAATTTAGCTTATGAATTATGCAGAGTTAAGATATTACCAGTATTAAAGAAATGTTAAAAATAACGGCATATGATACTTCTCACTGTACTATACATTATCTACTCTACTTATAAATTACATAAAACAAAATGTATTTTATGTTATTTATGAAAGCGTGAAATTCGGATATTTTATGCTAATCCAGAAAACAAGAATTAGAAATGAAGAAATGCAGTTTCTACTGTATAATATAGCATATTATTTAAGACGCTGACAAATGTAAGAATTACTTATTTTCCTTAATATTTGGTAGTATCCAAGCGCTTAAGCGTCACCTCAGTTACATTATAGGGATCCTATTATTGGAATTGAAAACTGTTAAGAATCGCGCTGAGATAATGTGACGCAGATTAAAATATGAAGAATGTTAAAAAGGCAAATGAAAGCAAATTAAAACGGAAAATGATCGGTACAGAAAAATAAAAAATACTAAATACTGCTTGATCGTTCAGAGCCGAGATTCCCAGCCAACATTATTTATGTATATCAAACCGGAGTGTGAGCTCAGAATTAGAACTTTCATATAACCTGAGAATGACTTATGGTTCATAGTAACTACACCGGTTTTCAAAAGTTAAGCAACAAACAGAAAACTGATGATAACTCAATGAAAACTATGCAAGCAAATTGGACAAAATTTGGTGACAACATTAACTATACCACTATATATAAAAACATAAGAAAATATTATACAGAATATTTACATTTTATGATACCAACAGGAACAAAAAATCTCCTAAATACGGACATGCAAATTAATTGCAAAAAAGTTCTCAGTAGTGAGTATGAGCAACCTGAAGAGCAATATCCTTCTGACAGCGATGTCTCTTGTTTTGTATGATGTTGTCAACGAGTTGCATGAATAGCAATTCCCACTAATATATAAAGCAGTTCTAAATCAACCTAAGGTTTGGAGCCTCTCGAGAGTCCCATATATGGTCAGTAGGATAATGGTCGGAAGAGTGTTGGCCATTTTATTTAGACTACAGTTCTTCTTTCAGATATTGGTGCACAAAGCAAGCAGTGGGAGGGCGTTCATTAGTTGCTTACAAAATGAAGGCATTGCCAGTTGTGGTTGAATACGGATGATCTACAGGATCAAGTATGTCGTTTCTGTACTTCTCACAGCATTGAGAGTTCTTGTGGCAGTACATGCACATTTGTGAGCCTACCTAAACATACTACTCCAGTACAGATATCCTTTTCCGTATGTTAGAAGATAGACTGTTTACTCTTCTCCATATGTAGACACATCGAGAATCACCCTGTAAAAGCAAAGTGGGACTCATCAGGGAACAGAACAGATCACTGATTTTGGGTCCAGTTTACATGACTACGTGCTTATATAAAATATGTGTGTAAGGTATGGTGTCACTAAGGTGGCAGCCCCTAAAAGCGATCAGTATTTATGAGAAAATAAGTATATATTGGTATTGAACATACCTCTCTAAAGCAACCACCCGCAAAGAAAAAATTCTGGATCTGTGGCTAATTTAAACGCTTCCTTCGGTGGCAGGAGGTAAGCCGCACGCTCAGAGCCAGTCGCCTAGCACGCACATCTCTTTCTTATAGCCGTCTGCGTACTATCGTAGCTTATATTGTTCTTCCTGTAGCAAAATCAAGCACGGATTTGAGCTGAGCTGGAGTTCAGTCCTGTTGCGACATGCACTAAGTCTCAAATAAATCGCAAATGCAAGTGGTAACTCTTGGCCTGCTTCTGGTAGATCTTCGAGAGGCTGAACCATTAGTTAGAAATTGGTTTCACAACCGACTTACCACGGAATGGTCGACAGTTAGTCATCTTGCATCGTCGGACTGGCATTGACGTACTTCTAATCGGCCAATGGCTCTATAGCGATGCTGCTGGCAGATGTAGCTTCGAACTCATTTTTACACTTTGGCTGTCTCGAAATTGTTTAATATAGCCTCATTCACTGAATAGCAATTGCTTCTTAAACATCTTGTTTCACGCTGTAACTTATTTATGTAAAGTGATAGCAGCTCTACTCTTTTTCATAATGCCACACAATGCAACTTTCTTTTATTTGTAACATATCTAAGTTTTAAGAATTTCTAACTGCTTTTAGCCGATTTATAATGGTCTTTTTTTTTCAATTTTTCGCTTAACTTTTGAAAACCAGAGTGTATTTTTTCCTGTTCAGTTATATCCGTGTGAAACGAGGCGAAAGGTGAATCAAAAAATAGTACTGCGTTTGTTTGAGCTGTTGTGCTTTATGTTACTATTTCTGGTCTGTATGTTACCACCTCCGTCGAAACAGAACCGGAACGTCTGCAGAATGCTGAGAGAGTGCTATTCATTCTAAGACGTGTTAAATGGATATCGAATATTCTTCATGCCATGTGGAAGTTATGCATATTATAGTCCAGTTAATAACAAGTGTCTTTCCTTGTACATTATTGGTACTTCCCAAAACATTTCAGTGCAGGTTGTGAATATTCAATATCGCTAATATAACTTTATATCTTTCGAACAGTGACTAAATTATGATAATGTTATTTGTGTATTCTTACATTGCCTCCCGAATTAATATTATTAGTCCAAAGGGATTTCAGTCCCGAAGGACTATTGCTTTCGTTTTGGCATTTTGCGTCGGACTCATAAACGTCGGTTCACTTTTCAAACTGTTGCCACAAAATGTTAGAGTCCTGCATTATATTTGAAGAAATTAAATAATGAAAAATCTGCATAAATGATTGTCTATTTCTCGCATTGTGATAAAACAATGGTACATAGAGCCATCGAATTTTGAATGACGAAATCCTACTGCGAATATGGGCATCTCTGAAATCCCAAATTTGGAATTTGTTTTATTATAGATATTATATTTTGTAAAACTTTAACGAATTTTTGATTTACAAAACTCAATGCTTTAAAAGCGAGAAATGGCAACGTTATATAGAAAAAAAAATACTTTTATCTCCAGCTCGCGAGACTGTGTATATTGGAAATTCTAAAGATATGCTTAATTTAACATTATTTTGCGATATTGCTCTTGAACTGAATTTTATGGTTTAAGTGCAAAGAACATGATATTTAATAAATAAAGGTAACACTCAAAACGTTAAAAAAACGCCCCTTTGGACGTAATTTAAAATCTGAAAAATTTCAGTTTTTTTTTTTTTTTTTTTTTTTTTTTTTTTTTTTTTTTTTTGTTACAGCATATCGTTTGAACTTGTCCTTGAAAGTATAACAGTTTTTGTGCTTTTGGAAACGTATTAGTGGTTTGTTCTGAAAACCCCTATTATTTACAATACAGCTATAGAATTGTCATTAGAAGTCAAATCGATTAAGCCACTTTTTTTTTAGTTTTTAAAAACATTTTTGTGTAAAGCACCTGATAGACTTATAACTTTTTATACTCGTTATAAATTTCCCAATAATAAAGATTAGCGCTCCTACATGACAAAGGTTTGTTGAGCATCGAGTCATAAATAATTTATTTTACAAAGCAATCTGATTAATTTCATGCTGTAATGTAAGCCGTTGCAATAATATCGTTAAAACGCAAAGTAAATACTTTGTTAATAACGACATATTTTTTTATCATTGTTTCATCATAAAAAGTCATTATCATTTTTTCATCATTAAAAGAAAAGTAATTACCCATTTCGCTATGTATTAAATTACCAGCCGCATGCACATTTGACCAAATATTGAAGGATATAATGGGTCTTGGAAATTTAATCAGGAGTAATAGCTTATTGAGATTTGTGTATCGGACAAATTATCAAAATTATCTTCAATTTTTATTCAGAATACAAAATTAAGATCTGAGGCAATCGACAGGTAATTTTTGATATTAATGTTATTCAAAGACTCATCAGGCTATTTTCTCAGAGAAGCCTTTAGAAAATTTCATTTTAAACAGAACAGTAACAGTAAAAGCATTAATGATGAAATTTCAACTTATGTTTCCAGCAACATTCTAGCAGTGTTGTGCAATAGTGTGTTAATTGTAGCAGTATTTGATGTGCTGTTGTCCGTTACAGAATTGTAATATATAAACGTGGCTTAGAACATTCTAGAACGGGCTGAGTATGTTTCAGTGCTTAGGAAAATTAGAAACACAAATATTTGACATACTATTGTATGTTTTAGAATTGTTACATGTAGACGTGATTTAGAACGTTCCAAACACATTCATAAAACGCGTAGAATATTCTGTAAATGCTCTTGTGCCAGTTGAATTAACTCGTTTCCCACCTCATACACTTTCTTTTGCTCTGTCGTTGTGAT